TGCCAAGTGAATGCACAGCCCAGATTGCGTGGTCCTTGCTGGCTGAGCTGTGCCCTGGCTGCCATGATGGGGGTACCATCCCACTGGAGCCAGCAGTCACAGGTCAGAGGTTCCTGCACCTGCAGCTGTGAGGCAGTGAGAGATCTTTGCCATGCTCATGATGCATCTTGATGCAAAGCCAGTTTTCTAGCTCGGATTAGTTTGCCATTGGCAGGGAGGTGTATCAGGAGTTCCCAGACAGGGTTGCAGCTCTGACGGTGTGTTCTGGTTTCAGCTGGGATAGAGTTAGTTTTCTTTGTAGTAGCTGGCGTAGTGTTATGTTTTGAGTTCAGTATGAGAAGAATGTTGATAACACACTGGTGTTTTCAGTTGTTGCTAAGTAATGTTTAGTCTAAAGTCAAGGATTTTTCAGCTTCTCATGCCCAGCCAGCAAGAAGGCTGGAAGGGCACAAGAAGTTGGGAGGGGACACAGCCAGGACAGCTGACCCAAACTGGCCAAAGGGATATCCCATACCATGTGATGTCACACCCAGTATATAAACTGGGGGAAGTGGGGCTGGGTGGAATCGCTGCTACAGAACAAACTGGGCATGGGTCAGCAGGTGGTGAGCAAGTGCATTGTGCATCACTTGTACATTCCAATCCTTTTATTATTACTATTGTCATTTTATTGTTATTATTATAATTATTAGTTTCTTCTTTTCTGTTCTGTTAAACTGTTCTTACCTCAACCCACAAGTTTTACTTTTTCTTTTTCCAATTCTCTCCCCCATCCCACTGGGGGTGGGGGGAGTGAACAGCTGCATGGTGCTTAGTTGCTGGCTGGGGTTAAACCATGACACCACTCATGTTTTGACAGCTACCAGGCCATGTTGTCCACACAGTCCCACCAAGCTAAGCAAACTGAGGCAGATGATGAAAATCACAGTGCCAAGGAAAGAGCAGTCAAATTGGCATAAGCTTCCTTCTTGAAGTGGACCCAAAGTCAGCCTCTTTTCTGCAGATGTCAAGGAGGGGACGGATAAGAGGGGCTTCCACCTCCGCCCAAGGCCCACGTTGTACTACCCTTCCTTGGAGTAAGGAGGACTAAACTGTCTTTCATCCAACACTGTAGGGCTTCTTGACGCTGCTGCTGGTAAGGGCTTTCTTTGCCTGCACTCAGACCTCTGAAAGCACATCTAGCTCCTGTGAGCTGTCTCTGGGTCCCTCTTCTCCCATCTCCCTCAGACATGGTCCTCTATTTTGCTAGACAAGCAGCTGCCACTGGCCAGTTCAAACAGCTCACTTTTTCCCTAGGAAGCTTTACATTCCTCACGGATCCACCAGAAACAGGCAGACGCATGTGAAATAACATCAACAGAGGAAGGTTTACCTCTCGCTAGCAAAGACTGGGGGTGCCCTGCCCTCTCACCAATCTCACTGTGCAAGGACAGCCACTTCCATCAAAATGCAATCACTATCACAAGTCCTTCTACTATTTTCCCACTGAAACTTACTTCAGGCCAAGGATTCCTACTACTTCTCAGCAAGGTCTCCCAGCGAGGATGGAGAAGAGTCTTTTAGCCCATCCCTGCAGGTTTTTGCTGGCTGCATGAGGAGTTTTAAACAAAGTTCACTCTCTCCCAGGGCTTTTAATTTTCAAAGCACATTGCAGACATTACCCAAATTATAAACATCTCCTTAACATGACAGCACTTGTCTGTAGCTGCTGGGATCTCTGTTAAGGCATAAGGGTAGCTTAGCCCCCTTCTTGCCCCATGCTGTGCTCAGGAACAGAGTAATTCTTTCTGGTGTTTTAGGAAATCAGCGGAAGGACTGCTCTGCAGTCTCAGCCCTGTCCACATGTTGACAGATCCTCACATGCATGCAGGCTACGAGCTTGAGCTGGTGATAAAGCCAAACTGACTATACAGTAGTCCCGTCCATCCATCCTTCCCAGCCCTTTCCTTTTGCTTATGATGGAGCTCCTCTGATCCCACAGTGTGCAGTTTCAGAGAGCTGAACTAGCAAAAAGTTGCTTAGCAGGGTTAGTTTTCTGCTAGGTTAACTCCCTGAACTGGTTCATGGCAAGGAAAAGAGGGGAAAGGAGTGGGCAGCCAAGGATAAGGCAGTGGGAACAGGACTTTTCTCCCCTTCTGGCAGCATCCCTCAGGGAGACCAGCTCAGTCACACCATGTTGTGGTTTAAACCCAGCTGGTAACCAAGCACCACACAGCCTCTCACTCACTCACTTCCCCCACCCAGTGGGATGGGG